TTCGCAGAGACCCGAGAACTTCTCTCGTTCCAAGGCATATTCTGGGCAGCGTTCGTCGAAAAAAAAAACCACATACGCCGGACGCGCATTAATCAACCCGTTGGAAAACTGATACGCGTTAGCATTGCATTTGCATATCAATGACCGCGGCACCGGGAATCACAGAAAACGCGGCGCACCGCGCAGGTGTTCAGGTGTAATATTGACAAATGGCGTCGGCTGGCCAATGGGCATATCCTGCGTTTATGCCCCGAGCCTTTTGTTCTTTTGTCGCTGGCTCGTCCTTCTTTCCCCGCCGGGAATGTCTGAATGTCTGGTCCAGAGTCTGTGGACGACGTAAGGAGAAACCGACGCATCTGTCCGCGTCCAGTCTCTCGGAGGAAAAAGTAGACCGTAGCTCGTGCGACCCTCTGATTGTTTTTAATTGAACGATTGCTGTCTACGAGGCATTAACAATTTTCAGCCATGTGCTATAAAGTTATTAGTTGATTGCTATCTAGGAGGAATTAACAGTTTTTTTTTGGCTGCGTGCTATAAAGCTATTAGTTCGACTAGATCTTATCTAGCGATACAGAAGAAGAGAGAGAGAGAGTAATTTATTCCGGCGAAATAGTCCACGTGGCGTATTAGTCCTGACAGAAAAATTTGAAGACACGCCGGATGAACCTCATTTAACGCAACTAGCCGCGCACCTGCGTTATAGGGACCATAACGAAGGCGCGGAGGAAGGTAAAAGGCGAGTTGAACTTAGCACGAAAAAGCTGGCCATCAAATACCATTGCGACTCTCTGACACGTGTCACCTTCGTTTATACCTTTCCTGAACGATTTCACGTCTCGCGTTTTGTAAAGTCACGATTCCCTCGCGTGTTTCGAGACTGTCGAGGAACGTACACACACAGACACATATGTACGTATGTATATCCCCGTCCCATCGCGACTTTCAAAACGCGTCAATAAAAGAATAACGTCTCGGGATCGGCAATAAAGCTTGACGTCCCACGAAGATTCCGTTGGCCGGAACCGAGATTCGCGATTATCGTGCGCGCCGGTGTGTCCCCTCGTGCTCGGGGAATCGACCCTGTACACGCCATAAAAATAAAAGAAGGGGAACAGAGGAGAAAGAAATGGTATCCGACGAGGGGGAAGTGAGCCGCGTAAGGAGTCTGGATGGCAACGGTTATCGGGGCGTAAGTAGTTACTCGTATAAGAAGTTTCGCTTCACCGTTGGTTTCACGGTCGTCTCCTATCGGATGTCGCCTTTGCGTCGATACGGAGAAAAAATATAGAACTGGCGGGATCGGCGGGCGCGAGTGTGCAGGGACCCGATCGTCGTTAAACTGCAAACTCGTAAGCGGAATCGCGTCTTCCCGCACACGCGCGTTCATCCGGCGGTTACGCTCGAGTTATCGTCCGTTCGTGCGCGTAAAGTGAAAGTATGCCGGTCGTTTCACTCTTCTCGTTCTCGCGCAAGTTCTCGTCTCGGCTAGCGGACGAAAGGCGAAGGACGAAAGCACGGCGAGATACACCGCGAGAAAGTTTCGGGACGAAGTTATTTGTGCCCGTCGTGCTTGTCGAAGGAAAAGAAAATACGTGCCTGAACGTACCGTAAGGAACGGTGAATCACGCGATCCACGCTTTTATTAAAGAGAGACCCGGGCTGGAATCGTCTCTCGCTTTGCTTAATCGTGCCACGAAATCCTCCCTCTCTCTCTCTGTCTCTCTCGTTTAAAAGTCAACGAGCGCTCGTGACTGTCCCGGCCGTTGCATTTACACCGCGTAACATCGCGTTAATTGCCGATAAAGTAATTGTACACCGGCGTGTTTTCGCTTTCGTTCGACCTCTGCTATGCAGCAGCTCGCAGACGGGGTCTAAAAATCACGAACGTTGCCCGTTTCGTTTCTTTTTTTTTTTTTTTTTTTTTTTT